TATTTTGCAGATATAATATATTATAAAACATAATAATCTCCACAAATAATAAGTATTTCAAATGTTTGATAAAATGTTTGTCAATGAAATACAAGTGAAACGCGAGCTGGATGATCATGATGGTGGTGGTGGTGACATGTATGCAAGTAATCATTTTAATAAGATAGCAAATATTCTGGATTATTCCAAGTCTACCACTAATATCCGGCTCAATTACAACGATAATCAACAATTTTTTGACACAAAGGACATGGGATCTACTGAATTATATAATGTATTTCGTGTAACTCCTATTAAACATGAGGTTCAAAGTGCTGATAGTAGTGGTGTTCATGAGCCGGGTCCGCCTAAAAAGTTAATAAAAACTGAGTCGCCTATTGCCGAGCACATGGATGCCAGGAGAAATCGGATATTAGAAATATGTAATTTAATAGCAACTATTAATAGTAATAATATTGCCTTAAAAAATACCAAAACCACTGCTGATAACATTGAAAATAATGACAACAAAAGTGTCGACTCGAGCGTTGATTGCGGTTTTTCAAGTGACATCAGTACTGATAGTGTATTTGATGAGCAATATTTGGCTAAAAGATTCAACAAAAATGTATCGTTTGATATGGTATTGCAGGAGATTTTCTCGTGGAATCCCCAATGGTTTGCAATTCTATCATATTATTAATTCCTGTCATTTAATCTTAATATTGAATTTTGCAGTAAATGCCCAAATAGTTTGACACCACAATAAGTGGTATAACTCTCTAAGTTGCTTAAAGTATTAAGTAATACTACAGAATCTGCTATTTTTAAAAAGAATATTCTGTATAATCCCTATAAAATTAAGAAATTAATGAGTTTATAATTATTTATTGAAACCTAACTAAATATTNCAGAATCTGCTATTTTTAAAAAGAATATTCTGTATAATCCCTATAAAATTAAGGAATTAATGAGTTTATAATTATTTATTGAAACCTAACTAAATATTTAGACTATTGTAATACGAAAAATAAGTTTAGAAATTAACCCCGGCATATTATACAGTACAGTATAAGTAGCATGATAATCGCTTGCATTACTATTCATAGACTATTATTCAAGTATTTGACACATACTGACATACTGTATATTCTCAATCATAGGCTCCAGGGCGGGGCTCTAATAAAGCCTCCCACCAGAAAATTTTCCCAACATATGCAACACTGGCCCTACAAACTAGACTATGAGAACCGGGATGAATACCTGTGCCGACACTTTCCTTACATTTATAGCCAGCTATTTATCAGTCTGTCGGAGGTATTCAAGAACGACGCGCCGTCTCGTGTGCGGCACCGGCTGTATGTGAAAGACAGTGAGAATTGCGGTAAACATGAACTCAACAAACGGCTGGACTGTTATGTCTTAAGAGATATAGAGAGACACCCGAAGCCAATGGGCCGACCCTATGATGTGGTCATCCTATGGGTACTTATATCTTGATGTACACTCGTTGTGGTGAAATAAACTCATAGTAAACAATGAATAACTTAATCCCAACCCATAAGCAATTATATCAGTTTCTGAACCCAAAATTGCACAAACATATAGCACTTTAAAAACATATTTGCAGATTAATATTGTAGTATCTTATCTTATATTTAAATCAGATTCTACATTAATAAATAGACTTTTATTTATATTCTCTCCTTAATAATTCAATTAATTAAAAATAATACTTAAACCAGATTTAAAATATTACACAAAAATATTTATTGCATCCATATCAAAATATTTATAACCTATCGACCTATACATTTTCTAAACAAACAGTATATTAAAAAGGTATTACAATTTTTAATTAAAGATCATTTTTCACTTATAGTTAGATGTAATGAAAATGAGCACAAAAAATGTTTCAAATAAAGTATATTTCGGACAAATAGCGAGTCATTCACTG